AATCATTGATTGAGACTGTCGAAAATGAATTCTGTCTAGAATTGTTGACTTATGACCTTGAATTTCCCTATTTATGGATATTCTATTAATTTGAAATTTTTATTGTTAATTTATGTGTAAGTTTAGAATGTTCAGCTCAAATTTCAGCCTTAGATGATTTTCATAGCAAGTTATAGAGAATGTTAAATTATACGCTGTCTGATTTTGAGTTCTGAAAACTGCAGCATGTTTTGATGCGATTTTAACCATGATATGAAAATACTGGGAAACTATGTTTAATATAACTAGTTTTTGTATAAATTAGGAGTACATAGGAACAAGAATCATGTCTTTTTGTTAAGTATAGCTCGAGTTATATGTTTTTGAAGTTTAGCATGCAAACCGAATTTTTATGTCTAGTTTAAGCTGCGTACTTTGAACTCGAATAAGTCCTCCTATATGCATGAGAAAAATATAAAATTTTAATGACATATCTAGCTATATGTTGAGAGTTTGCCTGCCAAATTTTAGAATTTTATGTTGAGAAATGAAGGAGTTAAAAATGCTACACTGCATGCATGTCAAGCTGAATTTAAATGCGAGATTACTCTGTATACAAGTAAGCCTTTAATGTGAAACTTTTACGAATATTTATTGAATGAGCGAAGAACAACATGACCAAGTTTCAGCTTGATATGATAATTATGTGATTTTATAAAATTATTTGAAGTTATGCGTGTAATTAGCTTATTTATAGTTTAAGTTTAGTAATTGTGTTGAATGAGCCATTGAAGTGATATTGAGATGAAATTTAAACAACAAGTACATGAGTATGTATACTATTTAACTGTCAAGTTTCATAATTTTTAGAATTATGTGTGATTTTTGAAAAATCATGGAGTTTTGAGAATTTGTTTAATTCAATTTAAATTGAATTAAATTATGAAATTTGACTTGGATAAATCATTGAGTAGATATAGTCATATATAAGTTGAGTAGTTGGAAGGTTTAGGGTTCGATTAGGATAGACCAGTAGATTCAAGCCAGTTTTGGTTTGTGTTTTTTGGTCTAAGTCTTATTCCGGAAATTAAGTAATTTTTTCTGAGCCAAAACAGTTCAGCTAAGTATACCAGTTTAAATTCCGGAATTTGTATTATTTTAGAGAATCTTTAGAGTGTTTCTTTATATCTGGATAAGTTATCTGATAGAGTTGAGCATCCTAGCAATTTATTCAGTATATGAGCATAGTACTTAGTATATTTGTTTATATTTTTATGTAGCTTGCGGATACAGCTACCCAACACAGCACTTACAGTTTTCAAAAGTTTTCAAAAGGAGAACAGGTGGGGACCCAGCCTGGGTATTACATTGCTTATAATCTTGTACCATGTATTCGATCTCTTGTGTAGTACGTTAGTCGCGATAAAGTGCAACTTATCGTTTTGTAATGTGCAATGTGTTATTTTATAAAGTGCAACGTGACGATTTATAAAATTTAACTACTGTAATTTACGTACGTTATCATGCTTGTGTTTTTATATGGATAAATGATGTGATTGATGCTAAAGTATTATTTTTATCCATTTTTTATATTTATATTGTGTGCTATTTGGCGGGAGCTGTTAACGTTAATTGTGAATTTTAGTGATAAAGTGCAACGTGTTGTTTTATAATGTGCAACGTGTTTTATGAAGTGCATCGTGTTGATATATAAAGTGCACTACTTTATATGATCACATATAAATTATGTATTTTTGAAAATTATATTTTAATAGATATAATTATACATCTAATTAACTTAAATAATTAAAATAATTTATATAAATATATATTTATTATTTTTATTATTATTTTTTGTACAAATTCAACCTGAAATTGAACCTAAATATTTATGTTATATAACCTAAATTTTAAAATAAAATACAGATAGTAGAACCTACACATAAAAATTGAATATTTTAGTGCAGTCGTTTCGACCGCTATTGTGCAATATGTCAGTCATTAGCGTGCAGTTTATTAGTAATTAATGTGCATTTTGTCTATCACAATTGTGTACTCGCAACGCATTTATATTTAATGTGAATATACATAATACATTGTGCATTTTATTTACCATTAATTTGCATTTATTAAATTTTCTATAAACTGCAAATTTGGCACATGAACCAAATTGAAATATAATAAAAGTTTATGAAATTACAACCAGACCCCTGAAAATTATTTAATTTTCCAAACAATTGCCCNCCGCTCCGGCCACGACCTCCGGCGTCAATGTGTTCTGGCGCCTTTGTTCTTCGTCTGTACGTTGGTGAAATCACCTCTGGTAAGTAGTTTTTTTTTTGTTTATTTTTGTTTTTTTAATGAGATCCGCCATTAAAGCTCGACCTTCGAGCTCGAAGGTCAATTTTCCGGTGTCGGGGTCAGCTGCAACTGAATCGACGAGGCAGAGTAAGGAATAAATAGACGACGGCGGTTGGTTGCCGGCGACGGAACTTGGTGGAAGAGGGCGTCGGACATGATGAGTTTAAGGGTGGAGACCCGGAGCTTCACCACATTCGGAGCGCGGCTGTACCTGGAACGTACGACGTCGATAACCCTGGACGATGATGCCGGCGAGATTCGAGCGACGATGCCGGCGATAGTCGGGCAACGATGCCAGCGAGTGTAAGGCGACGGGGAGGTGCGTCAGCGAGAGTCGGGCGGCGATGGAGGTGATGCGACGATGGATCTGCGGCGGGGCTTCGGCAGCGAGCGGCGGTGCTGTGAGAGGTGGTCGGAGGTGTGTGTGTACCGGCGCGTGCGTGTGTGTGTGAGAGATAAAGTGTGTGTGTAGTGTGGGGAGAGAGAGAGAGTAATTATGAATCTGAATAAACGTGTGGTAGGTGTGGTTGGATTGATTGTGTTTATGGTGGGACCCACAGATGTGGTTAATAGTTGGGGATAAAATGTCTATAATATCCTTAATGAACGTATAATTTTGACTTTTTTACAACTATTAGATTGTTTGATCCGATGATTGTGATTTATTCTTATTTTTTTCACGTAATACTATTCTCACCGGAGCGCGACTATATATATATATATATCAATTGTTTCTCTAAATTAATCAAATAGAATGTCATGATATTTTAAAATTTCTTCCTAAAGCATCATGAGTTGTACTGACTATTTTGTTTGTAATTAACGTTCCATCTATAATATATTAGTGTTCAATTAAATTAATGTAATTATAAATAGCAAAGTTATACTGTCTCTTATTTTTTTTAAATGTCATTTTGGCTTTATCAACAATTAAGCAAATAAATGGCGTTTTGGATAATTTGTACATATTTTTTCATTATTACCCTCATCTAGCTAATAAATACGCTACATCTTTTCTCAAAACATCCATCTCTATCCTCATTAATGAAGATTATTATTTGAAAAAAAAGATTCTTAATTACTGTGCAACTTCTCAAAACGACACTTATTAAAAATAGGAGGTAGTAACTATCTTTAGAAGTCTAGCAGAAGTTTGGAAGTCGGAACTCTCCATGGTTATAGAATCCACTATACTAAAAGTTTGATCAGACGTCTATCTAGGTGCGGAGGCATTCATGCGTCTCGATTTTCGTCTTGATGGCGGCCTTTTCAGGTGCTTTTAGGTGGCGCCTTGATGGTTCAAAAAATTGCGAAGTTAGTCATGCCTAAGCTGATTAGCTTTACCTATACGGTCTAGACGCCCATATTTTTTAGTGTATACATATATATATATATATACTAAATGTGCAATAATTATAAATGAAATGAAATGTAAATATATACATGAAATGTGAAATAATGATAAAATAAAATAATAATAACTGTGTAAAAGTAATATAATAACAAGCATATAATATTACTAAAATATTTGTATGTAACCATACTAATTAATATATTTTATAAAGTATAGTGTGTAAGTTATAAATACTTTTAAATATAAATTAATTTATTAATATTTTATGATTTCCCAAGCTCCAATTAATTCGCCTAGAAGCTCGAAGTTAGAGCCTCTGCCAGACTGCCACCTAGATCGCTTTGCGCTTTTTAGAACCTTGATAAAATCAAACCTTCATATACCAATTCCTTTTCTCAAAATTATAATTTTAATAAATACTATATTCAATAGCCGCTCTTTTGATTTGGCCGGATACCGTAGGAAATAAAAGATGTCAAAGAAGACGAATTGCATGATAACAAGCAAAATCTCGACCTAACGTGCATTTAATATACACCTCTGCTATATTCAAGGACCGTAAGTTGTCACGTAGCACATCAGCAACCGTCCGATCACTTACGGTACGAAAAAGAGAATAATCACTGGTCAGATGCAACAGTTGGTTAACCGCAAGAACTAACGTCCTTTAATTTCCCGTATTGTGTGGCTTTGGCCTTTGAGAGGCAGAAGCACCAAAAGTATCGCCTACGGAGACTCCGTTAAACTAAAGGATTCTTACAAGATTTCTTTGTTGTGGTCAAAGCAATTTTAGGCCTTCGGTTGGAAAGTTTCTCTTTAGTTTGATTCTTCGGCTTGGCGCATTCGCTTTATATATTACATCTCAGCTCAGCCCAGCCCAGCGGACTCTGCGAGCTGGACAAAATTTGTTGAGTATTTTTATCCACAATTAGTACATAATCGTGCTATGCACGTGTATATTTTTTTAAAGTATATTATAAATTGAAGTGTATTAATAAATAAAAGAGTGATAATAAGTAGGGAAATTATCAAATTATAAAAATGTTATTTTTTTTTTACATGATATATTTATTAACTAAAACAGATAATTACAATCGACTAATTAGCCATAATAAGAGGACTACACAAGGCAGCCTAGATACCAACACATACCACAAGACCAAAAGAAAAAAAGCTCTTACAAGGAGAATACACAAACACACGCTCCCACAAGGAGAATAACACACTACAAAAGAGGATAAAAACCAATGGGCTTCTCTCTTCTCTGTTGTGATTTTTCCCCAAATCTCCCGTGTAAACCCTCACTTTATTTCTTCTCTGCGCACCTCTTCTCCGGCTGGGGCTTTGTCCCCCGCGGCCCCTTGCGACACCTGAGCTGCTGAGGGTTGTCTGGAGAGGAATCGGTTCCCCCTGTGATGGAGTTTCCCCTACCTGGAGCTCGGGCGGCCAAGCAGTGTTGGGGTGTCCGACAATTTTCCGGCGGGCCTGAGATGGCTGGCTCCAGTTGCTCGTCGGTCTGCAGTTGAGCTGAGGCTAGGCGTCTTCTTCTTTCCCGTCCTACCCTTCCTTGGTGTTTGGTTGGTGTGGACCTCCGGCGTTGGAGGCTCTGGTCCTGGTCGGTTTCGAGCCAAGGTTGACGGATTCTGTTGGGGAAGGAGTGGGCAAAGGCCTACAGATGTTTTTCGGTTGTGTTTGGCTGGCCTTTGGCCGGGGTCAGGTTAGTCGTCAATTTTTCTGAAGGGAGTTTCTAGATCTGGGTCTTTGGCCATACTTTTTGACTTTTGGGTGGGCGCCGTCGATGGTTTGGGGTCGTGGTATTTGTTGGGTTCGATAGTAATGTACGGGCTGTACGCAGCGGAATTTAAAATTTTTAAAGTAAGTATTTATCGTATAAATACAACACCCGTACATACTAATTGCAAATTAACTGATCGTCATCTTTAAAACATGCATCATATACAAATTTTGATTTGTTACTATAAAGTAAATACTAGTAAAAATATTTACCGAATTTCTTGAACTCCTTCACTATTGATGATGGATGAGGGAATCGGTTCCCGGTTGTAACTTCAACGACTTGAGGTTACTCGCTAGAGGAATCCAAGTGTCTTCCCTCTAAACGTATCCACCCTATGAAGCCCGGTTCCGACGACTTTCCTTCGCTAGTAGAAAAGACTCGGTTTTCTTGTATAGGAATATTTATGAATTTTATTTGGGAATTTTAAGAACTCTTTCTTGAAGTTTTATGAAGAACACTTTCTTCTCTTTCTAACACTTAGAAATTTAGGATCAAAAACTTCACTTAAATGCAAAACCATTTTGCATATATTTATACTAAACATTTTAGCATAAAATAATCAACATTTAGTAATATTAAATAAAATCAAATTTTATTTAAATAGTATTTACTAACTTTTGACTTTGAAAATAATAAGATATGTTAAGTAGTTCAAACAACCATCAACAACCATTTTATTATAATCATATTTATTATTTTAATCCTTAAATCATATTTAAAGATATAAATAATAATTGGATAATAAATCTTGAGAATCTTTCTCAAGACTTTATTATTATATCATTTTCCCAATATTATAATAATCATATTATTATTATTTTGGATTTTTGAAATTTAAAATCCTATTTTAAAATTCAACTTTATTAATTTAGTAATTACCTTAATTACTAAAGTAATATCCAAAATGTAATTAATCAATCTTATTGATTAATATATTCCTTTAATTGATATCTAATCAAATTAGATATTTATCAATTAATTCTAACCATTAGAAATACAATCTTTACCTTTGTTCATAATTAGTGTGACCTTTTAGGTTCACCTTAATACTAGTAGTGGGTTTACAACACTTTGTAATTTGAGTTAAATCTTATTAACTCTTATTCATGAATTAACCCTTTAATTTATGAACCCACATATCATGGTAACACCTAGCAAGTAGCATGAATCTAGTATTAAGTGAATAGCGAGTAAACCTATTCCGATTACAACTCCATACATGTAAAATCCTTTCGACATCTAATTTCCCGATTAAGTCTTGGGTATGATTTTGTCGAAACCCAAATTGACTTAATAACTATGATTCTATTTCATGTTTATTAACCCGGTTATGAATCACTATTCATCTCTGCCTTGGCCAAGGACTTTGGATTAATAACTATGAAACACATAGGAAATTCACTTATCTTCATAAGTGTCGAATCCTTTATTGGCCACTAACAAACTTCCATACATATTAACATAATACCCAACTTATCCCTTTAAACGATAGTGCTAGCTACCAAAAGGATAAATCAAAGTAGAATGTAATATGCACAAAGTTACCATTGTGCCTCAAGTCTTAGGATTAGTCATGTACTATTGTAACATGAAAATTCTTATTCGACTGAATAAATTCTTCATTAAGAATTTTCATACGGTCATGTTCAGTGAACTTGTTCTCTAACAAGCACCCACATAAATGTACTTACGTCTTACGCTAATGTTGATGGAATGCAACATTCTTGTCCAACAAGCATACAAACTATGTGCAAGTCTTTTATGGATTATTCGATATCCCATCTCGAAACATCCATCGACTTGGAACTGTATTTAAGATCACGGCTTTCAAGGTATGTTCCATGATCACCATCTCTATGCGCAACCATACCTTATAACCATAAGTGATCTAGGGATTTTATCTTAAGTGCAATTATAAGATAAATGCTTTCTCTTAAGATAAAGAAATGCCTTATTCATAATATAATTCCAATAGACTGTATTTACAAGTAGAATACGTCCAATTAGATTGGAACGCCGGGTACCCTACTCTAACAATCTCCCACTTGCCCTAGTTCCAATCACTCATGTATCTAAGACCCATCTTCTCAAGATGTCCTTCGAACACTTTCTGTGATAAGGGTTTAGTTAAGGGGTCTGCTATATTTTCTGCTGAGTCGACTCGCTCCATCACGACATCGCCTCTACCAATGATTTCTCTAATCAAATGGTATCGCCTCATAATGTGTTTGGATTTTTGATGAGATCTTGGCTCCTTTGCTTGCGCAATAGCCCCATTGTTATCACAATAAATCATTATTGGATCAACAACGGATGGTACTACACCCAACCCTTGGATAAAGTTCCTTATCCAAACAGCTTCTTTTGCAGCATCAGATGCAGCAATATATTCAGCCTCTGTCGTAGAGTCAGCAATTGTTTCTTGTTTGGAACTTTTCCAACTAACTGCTGCTCCATTCAGAGTAAATAAGTATCCAGACATGGATTTATAGTCGTCTTTATCGGACTGAAAACCAGAATCAGTAAAGCCTTCTAGTTTCAGTTCTCCATTGCCGTATACCATAAAGATATCCTTAGTCCTTCGTAAGTACTTAAGAATCATCTTAACGGCTTTCCAGTGTTCTTCACCTGGATTAGACTGATATCTGCTCGTTACACTAAGTGCATGAGCCACATCAGGTCTTGTACATAACATTGCATACATAATGCTACCAATAGCTGATGCATAAGGTATATGACTCATCCGTTCTCTTTCTTCAGGTGTCTTTGGAGACATCGTCTTAGAAAGAGAAATCCCATGACTCATTGGAATATATCCTCGTTTGGATTCTTCCATGCTAAACCGTTGTAGCACCTTATTTATGTACGTCGACTGGGATAGTCCGATCATCCGTTTAAATCTATCCCTATAGATTTTTATCCCTAGGATAAAGGATGCTTCTCCCAAGTCTTTCATGGAAAACTGTTTTGACAACCATGTCCTAGTTGACTGCAACATCCCTACATCATTCCCAATGAGTAGGATGTCATCAACATATAGAACAACAAATGTAACTGCACTCCCACTAACCTTCTTATAAACACATGGTTCATCCGGATTCTTATGAAAATCAAACGTTTTGATCGTTTCATCAAACCGAATATTCCAACTCCTCGAAGCTTGTTTAAGTCCATAAATAGACCTTTGAAGTTTACAAACCATTTGTTCACTCCCATTGGATATGAAACCTTGCGGTTGTTTCATATAAATGTCTTCCTTAATATTTCCATTAAGAAAAGCAGTTTTCACATCCATTTGCCATATCTCGTAGTCATAATACGCAGCTATGGCTAGCAATATCCGAATAGATTTAAGCATTGCTACTGGTGAAAAAGTTTCCTCATAATCAACACCTTGTTTTTGAGTATAACCTTTAGCAACCAGTCTTGCTTTAAAAGTATTTACTTCTCCATCTACACCACGTTTTCGCTTGTAAACCCATTTACAACCTATGGGTACAATACCCTGTGGTGGATCAACCAAAGTCCATACTTTGTTTGAATACATGGAATCTATTTCGGATTGCATAGCTTCTTGCCATTTATCTGAGTCAATGTCCAACATTGCCTCATCATAGCTTATTGGATCATTATCCAAAAGGAGTCCCTCTTCATTGTCTTTTGACAATAGGTATAGCCTTTCAGGCGCCCTAGAAACCCTTTCGGATCTCCGAAGAGGTTGTGTTTCAGATGGTCCAGTCTCTACTGGTATGTTATTTGTGGTACTTTGTGGAATTTCTTGTGGTTCTTCATTAAGTTCTATGACTCCACTATTCTTTGAGAGAAACTCTTCCTCTAAGAATATAGCATTCCTCGAAACAAACACCTTTTGTTCAGAGGGATCATAGAAATAGTATCCAATAGATTCTTTTGGATACCCCACAAATTTACATAAGATGGATCTCATATCCAACTTACCTCCCACTAACTGCTTCACATAAGCAGTACAACCCCATACTTTCAAATATTTGTATGAGGGTGATTTACCACACCATATCTCATAAGGTGTGCTGGGTACAGCTTTACTCGGCACTCTATTCAAAATATGTGCAGCTGTTTCTAAGGCATAACCCCAGAATGAAAGAGGTAAACTAGTGGAACTCATCATTGATCGAACCATGTCTAACAGTGTTCGATTTCTCCTTTCTGAAACCCCATTGAGTTGTGGAGTTCCAGGAGGTGTCCACTGTGAGATAATCCCATTATCCCTTAAATAATCAAGAAACTCATTAGTCAAGTATTCACCTCCTCGATCCGATCGAAGGACTTTAATACTACGACCAATTTGTTTCTCCACTTCATTTCTGAATTCTTTGAACTTTTCAAATACTTCAGATTTGTACCTTAATAGGTATACATAACCATACCGTGAAAAATCATCAGTAAAGGTTATGAAATAGTGATAGTTCCCCATAGCACTAACATTTAGTGGTCCACAAACATCTGTATGGATCAAATCCAACAGACCTTTAGCTCGCTCCACTTGTCCAACAAATGGTGATTTTGTCATTTTACCTTTAAGACATGATTCACATGTAGGCAACCTATCCTCTCCCATAAGGTCGAGTTTTGGTCCCAATTTGTGAATCCTCTTTTCAGATATATGACCTAATCTAGCATGCCAAATTGTGAATGAACTATGATTATCTAATTTCCTTTTATTTTGTTGAATGGTTAGGATGGGACTTTCTGGTGTAATGGTATATAAACCATTTGTCAAGTTTCCTGAATATATAAAAGTTGTATCTTTGAAAATAGAACATCTTCCATTTTCAATGACAAACTTAAAACCTTCCTTATCCAATATTGGAATAGAAATAATGTTTCTTATA